AAAAAAAAAAAAAAAAAAAAAAAAACTACAAAATTAGCCAAACAGAGTAGCACCTGCCTGTAACTAACCCTGGCTACTCGGGAGGCTGAGGCAGGAAAATCACTTGATCCCGGTAGACAGAGGTTGCAGTGAGCCAAGATCATGCCACTGCACTCTACCCTGAACAACAAAAGTAAAACTCTGACTCAAAAAAACAAAAAGAAAAGAAAGCAAAAAGAAAAATTTAAATATTTCACCCAAAAAAAAAGTGAAGGAGAAAAAGAGGATTTCACATCTAAAGTCTTTGTTTCCTTTAGAAAACCACAGCCCCTTGTCAGTTGATTTGTCCAAAGGTATCTGACAGGCACTAATACAGTTAATGAATCAATCAGGAAAAATGGGCCTCTCCGGTGACAAGGAGTCACAGGGTACCTAAACCCAATCCATTCTCAGCTTTCCATGGTGACCCCTCAAGAAGTGATGTTAACCATATGAACCACATTCACTGGACAAGGCCAGAGGAAAGCATGTTTAGGAAAACACAACCACGAGGCTGCAAATCACACTGGGGCAGGAAGCACGCAGGAGTTTCTATGGCCATGACACTGGTGGCTGTCCCTCCGTGTCACTCAAACTTCAACATGAAAGACATCTTTTCCCAGTTAACTCAGAGAAACTAACAGACATTAGAATTGGAATTTGTTGGTTTTCTATTTTTCAGAATTTCTAAGACATGAAGGATGATCCAAACACTCCAAAGGACATTTAGCTATACATGAGGCTGAGGACCTGGCTGCTCTGGAGAGGGATGGCTGAGCAGCAGCCACCAGCTGTAATTGCTGTGAAGTCCCCTCACATAGGATCAGGTCACCTCCACACACCCTCTCTTACTTCTCAGGCTCTGTCCCTGAGGTCTAGCTGGGGTATTGCCTTCCTCCCATCTCATGAGCTCTCCAAGAGAATCCAGCTTCCTATAAAAGCTACCCTAGAATGGCAAGATATAGGCCCTCCTCCATTCTCCCAGCACAGCAGGACTTCTGGAGAGTGCTGGCTAATTCCTTTATCTCAAATCACCTGACAGGGCAGTTAGATGTTCAGTGAGCTAACAGGTCCAGCATGCTGAGGGCCTAGCCCCACAGCCTAGCATTTCTCCTCCACCTGGCCTGCACTCCAGGCTTTTTTCTTTTCTTTTCTTTTTTCTTTCAGATGTAGCCATGCTCTGTTGTCCAGGCTGGAGTGCAGTGGTGCAATCTTGGCTCACTACAATCTCTGCCTCCCAAGTTCAAGCGATTCTCCTGCCTCAGCCTCCCACGTAGCTGGGATTACAGGTGCATACAATTATGCCTGGCTAATTTTTGTATTTCTTTCTTTCTTTTCTTTTTTTTTTTTTTTTTTTAGACGGGGTGTCGCTCTTTTTACCCAGGCTGGAGTGCAATGGCGAGATCTCGGCTCACCGCAACCTCCGC